GGTTAATTTCTTCATAAAAATTCAAAATTTTATTATACATGTCAGTTTTTACATCCAAACGTGAAAGACTAGTTTATTGTCTTATTATTGGTGACTGCAAGTTAACTAAAGCTGCTGTAATAATAGCTATTGAATCGATGTAAGGCATAACAGAATGATGCAAGTTTGCATGAGGAGACAGCATTTCAAATTCTCTCATCCTACCAATAACCCTTTCAATATGAATGCGTAAACTGGAAACACGTTTAGTTTCTCTTGATTCTAGTTTTGTTAGTTTGCTATTAGAAGACTTACTTGGAGGTCGAACCAACCTGCACTGTTTTGCTGACAATAAAGTATCTATGTGTTTGAACCCTCTGTCAGCCATCACAGTACATTTTGGTGGTAAAGTTTCTTCGATTGTACTTATTTGATACAATAGTGTATCTGAAATTCTTCCTCCCCATCCACGAGAAATAAAATTGATAAATCCATCTGGTGAACATGATATTAAAAATTTCAATGTATTTCCTTTTTTATATTCAGACCATGATAATGCTTGATTAGTATTGTTTGATGGCTTCTGAATTTGTATTTCAAAAGCATCTATAATAGCCCGAACGTGATAATAATTTGCCCGAAATTGAATGGGCATTGATTTTATAACTGTCTTCTTATCAGGAAAATAAATAAAAGTCTTCATAATATTAGCTAATTTGAATACTGTTGTATGAAAAATATTACTGGCTTTGGTTGAACTCACTCCAAATTGATGGCCTAATCTGACAAATGTGTCATTCAATTTTATTTTCATAAGCGTTAATTTTATGTCATCTGTACCGACTCCAGTTAATATAGATAAATGTTCTAAAAGCCAAAACCATTCAAGTGGCAGTCCTAAGTATCTTTTTGGATCAGTAGCAATAAAATATACAGTCATATTCAAGGCATTCCTTTTCCACACTAAATCATTTTCTTCTATATCTTGAACTTCTCCAGATGAAGGTTTATATTCGCTAATGGTTTTTGAGATCAAAGTATTAGTGATTGATAAGCTTACTAAATCAGCGTCTAACCTCTGTAGATTGTTAACAGGATACGTTTGATTAATTTTTAATTTACTCACACCATCTTCAATATCACTGGTACTCGTAGACTTTTCAGCAGTTTTACATTTTACCATCACACCTAAACTGCGAAAAGGCGGTTTTCGGTTGACTTGAATTTTCTTGTTGCTATACTTTTTTGGACTACTATTTTTCAAGTTGATATTTGACTCATGACTTTCTCGAAGAACCCCCTTCACTGCTGATAAGTTCGAATTTTTTTCTTGATTGTCATTTGCGAAAATGCATTGCTTATCGACCTCAAGATTTTCTCGTAATTCTGTATTAGACTTTTGATTTTCATGTACAACTTTCTGTGGAATGTAAGATATATTTGAGTATTTTCCTTGATTACTATTTTTAAAATTACATTGAATGTTTACCTTTTGATTCTCTTGCAATAATATGTTCGACTTTTGACTTTCATTCAAAACTCTTTTTGGAATGTGTGATAAATTTGAATTTTCTTCTTCATTATAATTTTCAAAATCAAACTGCATGTTTTCCTTTTCATTTTCTTGTAAAGTTTTCTCCGGGATGTATGATAAACCTAAATTTACGTTTTGATTGTGATTTATAAAATTAAATTGCTTGTTCAATTGACTGTGCTGCAATACTGGGATTTTTGTACACAATAGACTTGATTTTTTCTTTCGGTATTGATTCTCACTACTATGAATGTTCAAATCTACTATTTCTGTATTGCCAAGCTCTCTTGTAATTTCATTTTTTGCATGTATTTCATTTTTTTGTCGAAAGCTATTGCTATTGGAAAATAATTCTACAACAGCTGCTTTGTGTTTGATATTTTGGAAACTTTTTCTTGCAGATGGTTTGGTAGCACTTTTGCGATTAGGTTGACAATCAAAGTAACGTGGCAATACATCGTTTTTCAATTTTATTCGACCTCCAAATAATTTGAATCGCATGTAGTTTTGAAGATCATTCTCAATCTACAAAAAAGATAGGAGACAGGTATTTGTAGGTTAGATTACACTAATTCAGTGGTATTACTTTAATTATATATGTTAATAATACACTTACATCTAAATGATCCTGGCAACAATAAAATTGTGAATTAGTTGGCTTGTCACCACGTCGTGCAAGTTTAAACCATTGCTGCTTCTTATTCAAATTATCGGGTACATACACGAAGACTTTGTCAGGATTTTTCTTTGAATTGTTCCCACACAATGGAACAAAACATGCTCTATAGCCTTTGATATTTGTTTTTGATGATACTTGAACCTCTTTTTCACTCATTGTATCAAGACACTTTTGAAAACAATCAATTTAAACTCGCAGTTCAACGCAGTTACGTGTTAAAATATCCAAGTTTTATAGTGATGACGTCACGGGCTCTTCTGCTAGCCGCTAGTCGGCGTTTCGGCGCGTTTGTCTCACGTTTGAAAAAGTGCACTTTTCAATAATTTTTTTTAAATGCAAATATGCGTTTAAAAAATCCAGGAAAAAAATTTTTATAACAAAACCTTATATTGACTATCGAATGACGCTATTATCTCAAACACGTTTTTTCCCTAATTGTAAAATCAACCAAGGATACCTTAGTACGAGCACTGATGTTCAAGTTTTTTGAGAGGGTTCCTCGGCAACAATGGCTTATTTTATCTTTTTCGGATCGCTGAATCGAAATTTCGAAGGTGCCAAGTCCAATTTCAGGTCATTTTTTTGTTATTAATAATTTTAGACTGCAAATTTGATATTTTCTCGTTTTAAGTCGACAAAATTGAAATATCGCAAATGTGAGTCTGAATTTTGATTCTACGGGAAAAAATACATATCAAACGTGTATGATAATCTAAAATTGATTTTTATTTGACACTCTCGAAAAAAATTAAGAAGTGCGAGTGAGTCCACGTGCGGCACATGCACTGGTGGGGTCACAAGTCTATATTTATTCTCTCAAGCTAATTTATTGCACACAATCATTACAATTTTTTAACTGAAAAATTATTGATTATACTTTTTTTCTTTTTTAAATATTTAATAATTACTAATCAATTTGAAATAAATGATATAATTTTAAATAATAATAAAACAGCTTACCGTTACAAATTCATATTGAAAGTTTTTTTAACCCTTTTATATACGAGTACATAAGAGTTACAGTTATAATGCAAAAAAATTGTATACATTTGAAAGGGTCTCAACCTATGCTGAATCCGAATCCGGAGTTAGATTATCAAATTTTAAGATGGCAAATGTAGGCCTTTATCTGATATATGAAAAATTTAAGAATTTTTTACTTAACATTTGTAAAGAAGGATATATGGTTATTTTGTTGTATGACAGCAACATGCTTTTATTGAACAATTTACACAAACGTAGCTTGGTAGCAATTGATCAAGAGATGAATAGAGAGTTGTAACTGTTTTTGTACGTAATATTTCGTCTTTATTTTTATCTTTGTAACAGTAACCACAAAATTGTGGATTTAATGCTTATCAGTTGGGTTTCAATAAATTAACTTGTTCATATGTAAAATAAAACGGTTTTAATATATGTAGACGTATAAAAGCACTTGTAAGCGTCATCTCCGGAACATTAGAATATTCGTTATGTGTTTTCCATTTAAGTATATCAAACGAAGTAAGTATACTGTTATTTTTTTTTACTTTGATTAAAAACTTCGTATTCGATTCATTTACTTTTTTTTATTATAGTCATGCAAAGCCAATCTCTCCAATAAAATTTTTTATTAGAATCTATAATAAGCCTATTTCCAACGCTTATACTTAAGGCGTATTTTATTATAAATATTTATATTCATTCATGAACAAGACATTACTATAAATTAATTGAAATGAAATATTATTTATTGAAAAACTTGCTCACTGTCAAAAGTTCCAATTTGTCCACATTAATGATGATTTTATGATGTACATCTACCTTGATTTCCGTGAAGCTGCCGAATAAAAAATGGATCGTTCTTTTTATATATGATTGTTTAATATATTATCAATATGTTTTACTAAGCGAATGATTTATTATAAGTGTGTGTATGTGTCTTTATGATTGTTGCATATAGTTGTATATGTACAGAGTATCTGAAAAGTTCCGAAACAGTATGACAACTCAGTTGGAGTGCACGGGGTTTCCATTTAAGAAATTGAACTTGACGCTCAAATAACCTTGAAGATCAAATCCTACGTCAACTTCAAGGTCATCATTGAATAGCCAGAACAAAATCCTATAACTTTTCTAGAAAACATATTTCCGAAAATACAATCTAGGCAAACCATAATGCTTTTCAAGAATTCTTGGATGCCAAGAACATTTGACTTTCAAATAACCTTTGAATCACGTTTAACCCTCCATATACCTTATACCGTTGGAAAGGGAATTTTTCCCGCTCTTTATTTCTGCAATATAAAATGGATGTTTCCATTTAAAAAACTGAAATTGACCTTCAAATTATCTGGAAGATCAAGAATAAGATCCAATTCAAGTTCACCATTGAATAACCAGGGAATAATCCTATAACTTTTGTATGAAACATTTTTCCCGAAAATGCATTTTCGCCGAGTTATCATGCTGTCTCGGAACTTTTCGGACACCCTGTACTTGTTTCTATAACTATTTGCTTGAGACTTTGGAAAAGTCTAGTAAATAAAGATATAAATAATTGTTACTAGATAGAACACCCAATTTTTTCAGTTATAGGGTATTTTCGTCGAACTGATAAAAATACAGGATTATTTAGCAATTAAAATAATTTGTATAAACCTAATCGATTAGGAGGTTTTAGAATGTTACCAAGCAACAGGTTTGGTCGAAGAAAAATTAGTAAAATTTAACTCGACCGTTCAAAAGTTATATGAATTTAAAAATATATCAATACAATTTCCAATAAAATAGGTTTCTTTTTCATAAATAATGAGTACTTTGTTGCAGATTTCGGATATCGTAGTGGGTCAGGAGTCCCACGTGACGGCTAAAGAGGCTTTGCTACGGTGGGCACGCAGGTCGACAGCGCGCTATCCAGGGGTGCGCGTAAGCGACTTCACGAGTTCATGGCGCGATGGACTTGCGTTCAGTGCACTCGTGCACAGGAATAGACCGGATCTGCTTGACTGGCGCGTTGCACGAACTTGGCAAGTGCGTGAGCGCCTTGAACGAGTGTTCTACGTTGCCGAACGTGAGTACGGGGTCACCAGGCTACTCGATCCCGAAGGTAAGTATACAAACGAAAATTAATATGTATCTACATGCATATACATCGTGACACGATGAGCGTTTTGGTTACAGACGTCGACACTCCTGAACCGGACGAAAAGTCACTAATAACCTACATATCATCGCTGTACGACGTGTTCCCGGAGCCACCAGCCATCCACCCGCTATACGACGTGGAGGCACAACGCCGGCTGGCCGAGTATCGTGAAGTGGCATTGTCGTTGCACGGATGGATGCGCGAGAAGCAGACGCAGCTACAAGAGCGATATCTGCCACCCTCATTGATCGAGGTACGCAAGCTGCAGGCGGAGTTGGGACGGCTGGTCGCGGACGAATGGCCAGGGCGGACACGCGATCGCCACCGGCTCGCCCAGAATTGGCGCGAACTGCACAAGTACTTTGAAGTAGTAGGCGAGGTGGAACTTGAGCCGGAGTTGTATTGGGAGGTATTGGACCGCGTCTGGGCTCGGTTGACTGCACTGCGCGAAGAGCGTGAGCACGCACTCGAGCAGGAGGCACTACGGCTAGAGCGACTCGGCCGACTAGCCGAGAAGGTGGCACGCGAGATCAAGTCCACGGACGTGCGTCTCGAGCAACTGGAATACCGCGTGGAAGAGGAGGCGCAACGACTGCTGGGGACAAGCGCGCCTCACCCGCTTGAAGCGAAGCGTGCGGTCGATTTGCTCGAGCAGGAGACCCGCGCACTTGAGCTGCACATCCAGCAGATTTTTGCGGATGTACACGCACTGACGGAGGCCCGCCACGCGCAGGCCCCTGAACTGCACAAGCGCGTACAGCGGCTGCACCAGCGTTGGGTGGGCCTGCGCTCACTGCTGCATCGGCGATTAGTCCAACCATTAGCCGCAGCGGCTATATCTTGTCCGGTGGCTGAAGAGCGGCTGGTCACATTGCAACGCACGACCGTCCACGAAAAGCGCTTCGTTGAAACTAATCCGCATTTTCGTGCGCTCCATGAGGCGCTTGATTGGTGTCGGCAGAAACTCACGCTGATCGATGAAGCTGATTACGGTAACGAGCCGACGCAGGTGCAATATGAGCTTGACCACTGGCAGCACGAGCATCAGCAGATCGACCATTTCCGTGGCACGGGCCTCGATCGTTGCGACCAAGCCAAAACCAATTTCCAAGGCGAGGAGCTACAGCTTTACTCGCAACACTTGCATCAGCTGCATAAAATCTACCAGGAACTGCTGCAAGCCTCCGTCAAGCGCTTGGCTGACCTCGAAACGTTGCATGATTTCGTGCAGTCGGCTACTAATGAGCTCGTCTGGCTTAACGGCAAGGAGGAGACTGAACTGGCGCGCGACTGGAGCGAAAAGAACCTTGACCTGCACGCTATTGAACACTATTATGAGGTGAGTTTACCCCTTCGCTTATTCTCTTCTAATAATCTACTGAGTCCGTCTTCGCTTCTCTCTTCAATAAATAATACCATGTATATCTATTTTGTCTCAAGCAAACCTTTGGCGTAGGATTCGAGGTGAGCTAGCCACACACACACACACACACACACACACACACACACACACACACACACACACACACACACACACACACACACACACACACACACACACACACACGAATACATTCGACATACCATTTACGCCTATCTGATAGAATCTTATCTCATCTAATTTTACCTTAGTGTTGGGGTTGGTGAACAAGAATGAATGTGCGTATTTAAATTCGAAATAAGGCTGACAAGTTTATTGACAAACACAAATAAGATTAAATTGATTTACAAATACAATACAAATGAAGCGATACACAATAAACATACGTTTACGGCCGTGATTACGGTAAACGCAAATCGCACGCACGTTATACTACTTAAAGGACACGAACAGCTTGCCCGTGCGAGATCTGAGCTCAGAGTGCCGTCAAAGTTTCTCTTTCTCGGGAAAGCAAATTTTCCTCCCTTCTCTTTTGGTGACATCGCCAACCTGGGGCGTGACCCGTAGAGGGCCTGAAAAAACAAATAGCGCTGGCGAGCTCTTTCTCTCTGTTTCTCTCTTCTTGCCTTGCTCGTATAGTGCCAATACAGCTTCGGACCCGCCCGCTTGCAGGGCCCGAGCTGTACAACCCTCTGTCTGGGTTCAGAGGTCGATGTCTGGGTCGTTGGGCTCACCGCCTAGGTTACGAACTAAACAGTAACCTTGCTGGTCACGACGAGCAACGGCAAAGAGGAGATTAACAATTCTTCACGCATGCTAATATAAATAATTGCAGCTCTGTTTTCCAGATCCCACGCGAGCACGCGCCTTCCTCCTAAATCGCTTGCCATTTTTTCTCGACTTCATGTTTCTCTGGTACAAACGCCATTCGCATCTCGCGCTGCAAACGTTGATCTACACTCAACTCACACACCCAAGACTACAGCTTCATCGCATATGTCGCAATTATTCTAACGATTGTCCACGACGAGCAGACTTTCCAACATTTCAAACCAGTCTAAGAAAACGTGTCAACAGACCCCTCTGCGCTAAACGTGAGCCCATGAAACCAGACGAGCAACGACGGGTCATAATGCCAAAAAGCACACTAAAAGAGCAATAAAACAAACAGGCGTCGATATTTAATGGGGGTTTCGCTCTAAAGGCCGCGCGGGCTAAATTAATGGAGACTACCGGTGTGCGCTCGACGACAAAAAAAAAGAAACAAAGATCTCTGCCTAAACCTTTTCCGAATATCTGCTGGACACATGCGCGTTTGAAAATTTCTCGCTCGTAATTGCGCGAACTTGATCCGTAACACTCAGTCTGATCTGATTTAATCCTTGCAGACGCTTATGAGCGATCTGGAGAAACGCGAGATCCAGTTCTCAGCAGTACAGGACCGGGGTGAAAGCCTCGTGTTACAACATCATCCAGCCTCCAAAACTATCGAGGCATATATGTCGGCTATGCAGAGCCAGTGGGCCTGGCTGTTACAGCTCACCCTCTGTCTGGAGATCCATCTCAAGCACGCCACCTGCAGCCAACATTTTTTTAACGAGGTCCAACTGGCTGAGCAGTGGATATCCAAGCGAGACGAGCTCCTAAATACTCACTATTCTCAGTCTGAGTTCACACTCGATGAGGGCGAGCACCTTCTCAAGGGAATGCAGGAGCTCAGGGAGGAGCTCAATAACTACGGCGATGGCGTACACCAACTTATCGAGCGGGCCAAGCAAGTAGTGCCAATGAAACAGCGTAGGCAGCCGGTCACCCGGCCTCTCCAGCTTACCTGTATTTGCACTTACATGCAAGCCGACGTGAGCATTTAAATATCTTGTATTACGCTCACAATCAACGTATCTTTTCTTTTTCTCTCATCACCTCTATGCCACTTTCCATTTGTACAGATGTCAATCGAGAAAAACGAGCAGTGCATGCTCTACGATAATTCCGGCAGGATCAAGTGGCGGGTTAAAAATTCAAAGGGAGTCGAGTCCCCGGTGCCTGGTGTCTGCTTTTCTCTGCTACCACCCGATAAGGAAGCTCTCGAGGCCTCTGAGAAAATTCGCCGACAATATGAGCGGAGTATTGCTCTTTGGCAGCGCAAGCAACTGCGTCTCCGGCAGAACATGATATTTGCAACGATTAAGGTTTCTTTTTATAAAAATCTAATTTGGAGACTGAATGTAATACGGAGCTTAGCGCTTAATCTTTCCAAAACGATATAAAATAATTATCGATTACTGAAAAAATTAAAAAATTAAAAAATCATTTTAGAATACAGTCATATTTGGCATGAAAAATACCAAGTTTTTATATTTATGGTTTTGTTATACAAAATGTCAACTTTAAGAGATAAAAATTAAGAACTTAAAAAACTATAAACTTATTTTTATTTGTTTTCAATAACATTGAATTTAACGATTTATTTTAATAGGCTCGTATATTATATAGTGTAATCGTTAAACATATACTGGATTCATTATGGAATAATTTTTTTAAATTTTGATAATCGTTTTCTATCCGTTTCGCTCTGAGAATTCAGTATGAGTGTGACGAAACCACTCGATAACCTTTACGAGTTATTATTTCGCTCTAAAACTTTGTAGCAATCTTTTTTAATTATTAAGTAACTAATCAATGTCTCTGAAAGTTTTTTCAGTACTAAATTTACTTGTATATTTTTTGTAGTTGTACGTATTGTATCCGTGTAATCAAATGTTATCCATTAATAATTATTAAATGATTAAAATCAATTATTCTTTAATGACCCTTGAAATGTTTAACGTGTACATTCAAATAATATTTTACGAAATTATAGCGATCTATTTAAAAAGAAACTATTGAAAATTAGTTTCTAATTTTATCAGTTTTTAATTCTTAATGCAAGAAGCTGACATTTTACAAAAACATAACATTTTTTATAATATAACATTTTTTATAATGAACACGACGGTATATTTTTTAAAATCATTTTTTTAATTATAGTAATTATCAAGTCTTATTTTGATAAGATTAAGCGCTCAATACCTTATTGCATCTAGCCGTTCAGTTGAACTGCATTTCTGCCCGTCTATTTACTTTGTCGTCGAACTTTATCGTAATCATACAGGTTGTAAAGGATTGGAGCCTACAGCAATTCTTGGATATGGGCCAAGAACAGCGCAGCGCCATACGCAAAGCTTTGAATGAGGATGCGGATAAGCTCTTGGCCGAGGGCGATCCCGCCGATCCGCAACTACGCCGGTTACGTCGTGAAATGGCCGAGGTTAACCGACTCTTCGACGATTTTGAGAAGCGTGCCAGGGCGGAGGAGGAGTCGAGACAGGCAGGCCGGATTTTCGGCGAGCAGGCCTCTTCACTTGAGCAAGCATTAGAAGAAGTCGAGCGATTACTCGTGGCTCGCGTGGCTGCTCCCATACCACGTGATCTCGACAGTCTCGAGCATCTGGTTCTCGAACATAAAGATTTCGAGCGAAACTTGCAGCATCTTGCGCCTGAGGTTGAACAGCTGCAGCAAACCTTTCGAAGCATCACCCTCAAGACACCGCAGATGAAGGCCAAGCTCGATGGTTTGGCGGCGCGCTGGAATCGCCTCCGGGAATTAAGTAACATTTATATTGAATGCCTTAAGTGTTTTGAAAACATGCTCGGCGGTCTCGATGACTGCGGCGCTGCTATCTCTGAGCTCGAGATTAAGCTCGCTTCTTTTTCCCAACTGCCCTCGGATCTTGGTGATCTGCATCATGTACTCGACGACTTGATGCAACTACAGAACAGCATTTCTCAGCAGCAGATTCACATTGATCAACTGAACGATGACGCGCTCAAGACCAGGCGGCTAGTCGAGAAGTCGAGGCCTAATCATCGAGGCCCTCACGTCGACGTAGATCGTCTTGATATGGAAGTCAATCGCCTCAACTCCAGGTGGACTAATATATGCGGCCAGTTGGTTGACCGTCTACGCAGCGCGGAGACTGCTTATGGTCTTGCTCAGCAATATCAGACGTCTTATCAGAGTGAGGTCGATTTTGTCGACGAGAGCTACGCACGCCTTGAGAACCTCGCTCCGGTGCACACCAAGGCACAGGAACTGGAGACTACCAAGGTATCAAACCATTTCTCTTGAATCATTATTTCATCTATCTAATCTTTCTAGTAAACTCCAACTTGATTTTATCGTCTTTTTTGTTGCTATTGTAGAATATACTGAACAGATTGACCGATCGGGCACCAGCTGTTGAGGCGGTCAACCTCACGGGTGGACGTCTTATCCGAGAAGGCAAGGTAAGCTACCTCGCTGGCTCTATCGCTATCTTGTCTGCCAGTGACTCATGACTTGGAAAGCGATTATATGCGTGATCAGTTGTATGAATGAGATACTTCCAGAGTTTTTGTGAAAGCACATTTCACACGCATACACCATCCATCACTGTAAGATCCTCTCATACCTTCTCGCACTGCAGCTGATCTCGATAAGTTTCTTTTATCACGCGGAGAATCGCTATTTAATTCACTGAATTTCGATTTCAAACGTATGTATTCAGATACACATAATGCGGCGTCTGCATATTACAATTGCAGTTGCTGCATTGCAGTACGGTCCATTTTAATGGGCTCGTTTGCATCGTCGATTCGGAGTAGTCGATTCAATGAACATTATAGTAGATATCATCAGTTATAATGACGTTTATTTTTTAATTAAAATTACCAACAACTTTACAACTTAACCCGTTTCAAAAAACGCCAACCGCGATATACCAGTCTTTGACATTTCGTAACTTATTCTATAGACGTTAAAAAAATTAAGAGGGGCATATTTTAAATGCTTGAAATAATCCCTTTCTGACGGTGAACTCAAAATTGGTCAAAATTATTAATATTTATGAAAAAATGGCGTTTGAATAAAAAAAGCATGAATTTTCCTTTCTTTTTTTTCCAAATCTAGTTTTCAAAGCTTTTCAGGTTGGGAATTGACCGGGAACTTTTTTAACCGATGGAATAAATAGTTGAACCTTAAGAATCCATGATTCAAAATTCGATTTTTCACCTTAGAATTTCAAAATGGCGCCCAAATCGCAAAATTTTTTCAAATAATTCATAATTTTTTTCTCCAAAACCATGAACTTATAAGAATAATGTCAAGAAAAGAAAAATACGAGTTTTAAGAAAATTTTTTGTTTTTTCAAATAGCAATGTTTTGCAAAATAAACCATTTCTCAAAATATGTCCGAAAAATTGTCATGTATTCTTTTGTTAATTCTAGAAATATTTTATTCTTGTCAATTTTTTTTAATTATACGATTTTTCAATTAAAAATTTCTGTAGCTGTATATAACCTTTTTTTCCTTCTTGTTTTCGTGATACCGTTTGGTAACACGATTTGAGATTTGTAATTTTTTGTACATTTTGTGCTAGGAAGTTGATAGCCTTTACGTTAGTTTGGTCTTTACTGAAAAATTTTCTAGCGATCAGTCCATAAACCTAGTTTGTTTGTAGAAAGTCCTGTCCGAAGACAGTTATTTAGTCGATTAAAGTCATTGGCGTACTCCAGTAAATAATCCCTCACGTGCATTATTTTCTCTGTGGATAGAATAACAGATTATTTACTTCTACAATAAAAACTTTGGATTCTCAGATAGACTGAAAAATGCCCAAGCATTTTTAAAAAATAAATTTCAAAAGAAAATGATTCAGAATCAACTCAGTGTGAGGATAATTTTTTTTATTGACAAGCAGTGCATTTCAAAAAATTTTCGGACACATTTTGAGAAATTTTTTATTTTGCAAAACCTTGCTATTTAAAAAAACAAAACATTTTCTTAAAACTCGTATTTTTCTTTTCTTGACACTTTTCTTATAAGTTCATGGTTTTTGAGAAAAAAATCATGAATTATTTGAAAAAATTTTGCGATTTGGGCGCCATTTTGAAATTCTAAGGTGAAAAATCGAATTTTGAACCATGGATTCTTAAGGTTCAACTATTTATTCCATCGGTTAAAAAAGTTCCCGGTCAATTCCCAACCTGAAAAGCTTTGAAAACTAGATTAAAAAAAGAGAGAGAGAGAGGAAAATCCATGATTTTATTTTGTTCAAACACCATTTTTTCATATTTCTTAATAATTTTAATCATTATTTTAAGATTTTAAAATGTGCTCCTCTCAATTTTTGTTGACGTCTATAGTATGAGTTACGAGGTGCCAAACACTGATATATCACTAGTGGTGTTTTCGGCTGAAACGGGTTAATTCACTGTTTCTATTTCTCCAAGTGTTATTCAACGCGCCACGTTAGTGGATCATGGTCAGATCTTTTGGATAAGTAAACGTTTGGAAATTATTATTGGTTTCCTCAAAAGTCCAGCCATTCGGTAACTTACTGTAGTACCTCAATTGAAATATATGTGAAACTACTAACGCTGTGTTAATTCATTCCCTATCTTCAAACAACCATTGAATTGTTATGTTGCTTGTTTATATAAAAAACAGTAAATCTTGTTCAGGAATAATGGTAAAGCAATTTGTCTATTCCAAAGTTAATTTATCGAACAGTGCTCTTAATGTGCATTGCTAAATCGTGAATCGCTTGACAGGCACTAAGAGAAATTGTATTATGAAATAACTTAACAATCTAAATTTATACGTATAGTCGCATTATAGTAAAACCATATTGAGTTATCGATAGAGCACCTTCAATTTCCGCTGTTTCGATACTGTTGGTAGCTTATGGCTCAAATAGGTCTAACCGTACTAATTTCTAACGTAACTAACCGAACCCATAGATTTACGGACAGAAATTACGAGCTTTCAAGGAAGTTTTGGAAGAGCTTTGCCCATCGATGGATGCCTCGGTCAAGAGGCCACGGCGGGACAATGTCAACACAGTTGATAGCATAACGCGCGAACTCGATATTCTCAACCGTAGATACACAACTCTAGTCGCCCTTTTACAGGAAAGAACTAGAAAATTAGCTGCCATTTATCCTTATAACTCAATGTTACAGGTGAGTCTACTATTCTACATTTTATGCATTTGGTCACTTCACTTTAGATTACCATCGCACGTCTGGTATAGTATATCTCAACATACCGTGCGGAAAATATAACTTTCTCGCATGCTCGGCAAAAATCGTGCGCTCATACTCGAGTTTTTTACACGTTATTTTGAAAAAACATAGTACCTAACGTATCCAGAAAAAATATTCTCATCTCGTGTTACGTTCACGCCTGAGCTTCGTTAGGTTGTTTTTTTGAAAAACAGAAAGCGCAATTTTAAGCTCATGTTTTTCACCGAGCGTGCGGAAAAGTCGTACTTTCTGCATGACGTGTTGAAACAGTAGTATTTCTTACATCAAGCTGCATTTATTGTACACATAATAATCTAAATCATAATTGGAGATTTTTATCTGTTTGAAAAAACGTGAACGCATTTTATTTTATTTTAATACACGTGCGCGCGCACGCACACACACACGCACACCACACGCATAGACACACACGCACGCGCGCGTACATATACGCACCCATATTTATATACATACATACGTATATGTTAGAGATACCGACTCGCTCATGAACCCTTCCATTTTTACAAGGATACCCCTTTATTGAAATAGAGTTTTATTAAGTTCACTCAATCGATTTTCGTTTACCTCGGATGAATTCCTGTACTTATCAATTTTATTTCAGGTTCGTTCTCAAAATACATTATTCTTTTTCAGTTTGAGGAATGTTAATAGCTGAACTACAAATAAAACTAACTAGAAATTAAAAGACGACCAAATTATTTACAACAAATAAAATATTACCCTATTGAAAAAAAATCATTTGGTTAAAAGGTCACATGACGACTAGTAAATGTAATTAGAATGTACAAATTAAATATATGACTAAATCACGTTACTCAAAAGTTTCTATATAAATAACGAGGATGAAAAAGATAAACAAGAGTGAATTTTATTTCTCCACTCATGCATCTAAGTTTATTATTTAAAGTATGCATTAGTCGTATCCTCGACGATTGGGAAATGTTAAAAACAATTTAATACGAGTGCACAAATCATTCATCCATGGTCCATTTCTACATGGATTCTACCGGCAAAAAAAATTGATCACTTCGATTTTCTTGAAATTTGAATATATCATTCTATTTTAAATTTCAGGAGATATGTGTTTTTTTCTTTTTTCCAAAAAACGTTTTTGAAGTCCTTGGGGTTGGGGTTAAAGTTAATACCTTAAAATTGATATACGGGAAATGGAAATTTGCATTTTTTCAGATGACAGCCATTTTAACCCAAATTATGCTATGAGGACATTATTTCCTTCAAAATGTGGAGAATTTAATCAGCTTTCAGTTGTTGTTTTTAATTTTTGAATATCTTGAAAAACAACTGCATAAATTGGTAAAATCTGAAAAAAGTCATTTTTTTTAAATCGATTTTCTCAAAAAGTACATTTTCGATTTACGCGAATTTTTTCAATGTTTTTCAGAATTATATAAGCTACCTTCTGGCCAAACTGCAATATGTCATCTTGCTCCGTTCACAAAATAAAGCCTGACGAACATAAAGTGTCGTTTTTTACATGTTTAAACTAGTGTTATCCGCATATAGCGCTTTCCTGATGATTTATATGATAAATCTAATCAAAGCATTGTATTCTGTGTAAAAGCTGCATTGAAAACATGTGTTACTTGTTTGAAAAAATAATTTGGTTGACCTCAAAAAACTCAATAAACATAGAGTATAGTATTCGGCTTGCTATTCGTGTTCTTAAGCATACTTAATCAGTTTAATATAGTCTGTTCATTAACAATGATATATAGTAATTTTACTAATATTAATTTTTAGTCTGTGAAATCACAGAAAAGCATAGTAATTACGTAGTAGTATCATTTTCAGAAAGATTCAGCACTGAACATGTATCCATTCATTTTTAGCTGTTTTTTACATAGCTCTTTGTACAAAATATTTTCTGTCATTATTTGTCTGTCGGGTCATTTGCCAAATATGGCTAGATCACGAATACCTTTAACAGACTTTACTGAATTCCATTTCTTCTCATTTTTGATCTTCGTATTTCTGAGTACGAAAATCTTCAAGCTTTTCAGCTTTCAAATGTATAAGTCTTATTTTATCGATATACTTCCTCATATATTTAAAAAAATCTCCAACGTTTTGTATACTTTCATTGGGCGATGAAGGCAAGTTATGAACCGTAGCGTAATAATCCTCCATCACATGCGTTCTTTCCATATCGTTTTGCTGAAAAGATCCACTTTGTATTTTTATAATCGTTGCTTAATTCGTGAAACTGGAATCTATTCTTGAAATGTGCTGAATCATCATTAGATATTGCAGTGAAACTATTCATCGTATCCATTAATTTTTTACACTCACTTGTTAACAAATTTATAGCTTTTAAAGCAAACGCTGTATCACGCTGTTTGTCATCACTCACTTCTCCTAAAGTTTCGGTAACTTCTCCAATGTAGCAGATAAATACATATATAAATATCTGTATATTTGTCTAATGAAATCCTAGAACAGCATTTGTCTGAACGAGGGGCCATTCTGCAAAATCTTCATGAAGAATGAAACAATGGCTATTCAACTTGCCGGCTTCTTTCTCTAATCTGATGGTACCTTGCTGAAGCGCTTTGATTGGTCTATACTTGCTCATTTTTTCTACGTACTTGTTTAGTTCCTTTAGATAAACATAAAATATACAAGTTTTTTTTTCACTAGATCGTTATTCTTCTAGATTGCGTAAGTGATTTCATCATGAAGTAAGTTTTCTTGATGAAAATTTTATTCAGTAATAACTATATTTTGGCATTCTTTATACTCTCGAAGAATACATAAATTGTTCTTTCTAGAGCAAACTATCATGGCTAGGAGCTCTTCTTTTAAACTTGAAAATTCAGAATGTCTCTTCTTGAGTGTATTTTTTAAAGCGGCCACTAAAAGGTCGAAATAGGTACAATGAACACATAAACATGAGTCGTTAAATATTAAATAATAACCCATTTTGGACGCAATCGATGAATCTTTGCTCTTGAAATTATGAGATCTAGATTTTACTTGAAAATCAAATCACAAATTTCTTTGATGCTACGAGTGAGGAATCGTTTACCTTTTTTGTTATTTCTTCATCAATTTTAACCCATTAAGGCCCAGGCCAAACCTGGGAAAGATAGCGCCAAACTAACTATGCCAATCGTAGCTAAATCGTAAAAAAAAATACCGTGTTTTTCTTTTGCCATTTTCAATTTATAAAAAATTATTTAAACAAATTATCAAAAAGTTATTATTTTCAAAAAACTGATAGCGGCAATCGATTCTACGGGAAAAACATGAAAGAAATGTATATAACGTTTTTTTGTCAGACGTCAATTTGTTAGTGTAAAATGGCTATAAACAATTGCAAGTCTGTCAGGTACCTGTGTATACGCCAAATCTCAAGCAAAATCTATTGCCGATAGCGCCAAACTAACTATGCCAATCGTAGCTAAATCGAAAAAAAAATACCCGTGTTTTTTCTTTTGCCATTTTCAATTGTTTATAAAAAATTATTTAAACAAATTATCAAAAAGTTATTATTTTCAAAAAACTGATAGCGGCAATCGATTCTACGGGAAAAAACATGAAAGAAATGTATATAACGTTTTTTTGTCAGACGTCAATTTGTTTAAGAAAATAGGACAGAAAGCTTTGAATTTTCACAAATTGTACATTTGGAAATTTGACTAACATAATAATTGTTGGGTTACGTTAAGTTGCAAAGAGTTTGCAAAATTTTTTTTCTATTGAAACCGTGTTAGAGATCACGTTTGAGTGGCGGGCTAACGGTTTTATGTAATATTATGGATTCAGTTTTCATTACAAAAGTTTTTAGTATATTTGGACATTTCTAGTACATTTATTTTACAGTTATTTGTTTTTGGAACAAATTGACGTCTGACAAAAAAACGTTATATACATTTCTTTCATGTTTTTTCCCGTAGAATCGATTGCCGCTATCAGTTTTTTGAAAATAATAACTTTTTGATAATTTGTTTAAATAATTTTTTATAAACAATTGAAAACGGCAAAAGAAAAAACAGGGGTATTTTTTTTTTCGATTTAGCTACGATTGGCATAGTTAGTTTGGCGCTATCGGCAATAGATTTTGCTTGGGATTTGGCGTATACACATGTACCTGACAGACTTGCAATTGTTTATAGCCGTTTTACACTAACAAATTGACGTCTGACAAAAAAACGTTATATACATTTCTTTCATGTTTTTTCCCGTAGAATCGATTGCCGCTATCAGTTTTTTGAAAATAATAACTTTTTGATAATTTGTTTAAATAATTTTTTATAAACAATTGAAAATGGCAAAAGAAAAAACACGGGTATTTTTTTTTCGATTTAGCTACGATTGGCATAGTTAGTTTGGCGCTATCTTTCCCAGGTTTGGCATGGGCCTTAATGGGTTAATACCTTTGACGTCGTTTTTGTCTGAACCAATCTAGATTATCGTCAAAGTAATATCTTTTAATTAACTTGATAGTTTCACTCTTAATAGGATTTCGAGAATACGGATCAGGCTGTTCGTATATACCTTTAGTTTGCACAAGCTTTGATGAATTTCAGATCATGTAATCTGTAGTTCCCTTGATATGTGACGAAGTGTAAATTTTTTAAAGACTCAAAGGTATCAGCGTTGCTAAAAAATTGAACTGAAATTTTTATTCGACTTGTGACATGTCTTGGATTTATTAAATACTAATTTGTCTGTAAAAACATCATATAATTTTCTAATTTTGCAATTACTTTCTTAGGTGAGAGTATTGAATAATTGTTTGCGTTTGCGATTGACATAGTTTTCTATATTTGCTGAGCTAATATTCAAAAAAGACTTGAATGGTGATAGTGATAAATTGTTCCTAATCACAATGCCATTAATTTTGTAATTGAATACTGCTCACAAAGGATTGAGACTCAGTTGGTAAGTTGTTT